ATACTGCGCATTTTGAAGTCGTTTTTTTTAAAAAAAAAAAAAAAAAAAAAAATATGTTCGCCACAACGGTGATATTTGTAAACTAATTGATTTTATTGTCAATTTAATATTTTCATAATTATTGGATTAATACGTTAAGAAAAAAAAAAAAAATGCACGTGATACGCGAACACGTAACACTGTTATAATATGCATTATACAGTGATGACGTCGTGTTGTCATGTGTACTTAAATGTTAAGTGTAACATATGAGTAAATCCTTTTTATTAAAACAGTGTTATTTACCATTCGTTATTCACGCAAAACACAATGTGTGCGAGGAATGACGCAATGTTAGAAAACGAGAACAGAGAGGATTTTTTTTTTTTTTCTATAACAATGTAAAATATGTTTTTTTTTAAAATAAAACTATAGTTTTACACGCATTTTTTGTGAATTATGTTGTTCCCTACTTTTACCACACACACACGCGGTACCATTATGTTTGCTTACGCAACGATTACGGAGACGGGCTTAACGGCGTAGAAACTGAAACGGTACGCCGCTCCTAAAAGATAAATGTCGTTGACACCGATTGTTATCAGTTTGATTAGTTGTTTTTGTTTTGCGAAATTTTTTATTATGTACTTTACGAAGACGCTACGGGTCGTATGGGACGCGATGGCCGGTCTAACTTGAGCCGGTCGGAACGGACGATGTTTCTCGGTTAAACTCAAAAAAAAAAACGGACGAAGGAGTCGCGTCGTGTAACTGCGGACGGCGGTGTATTCTTACGGATACCGCCGCGGAACGTTTAGATTTAAATGTCCGGGTTCCAGTTAATACCGATACCGAACATTTTATTTTTTTTTTTTTTCTATTCTATAGCACGGCGGTTCCCAACCTCGGATCGCGACCCGAATCGCAAAACGTAGGACTCTGTGTATTATTAAATCGGGTGATAAATCCATTTGAAGTATTTCTACCCGCGAACTTTGTAAACACATCTGCGGTTTTCAATAAGGACTTCTCGATTTTTAAACTAATTATCTCAAAGACAAACCTTTTTTGTCGAAACAATCCGGAAACGTTTTACTGTCGTCCCCAACAACACGCCTATGTGAATTCCACGGGTGTTCTACTTTAGCCGTCATTAAATGAATAGTTTACAATCGGAATACGGGAATTGCCGTCATCCCCAACACGATATCACGTAGTGTGCGCTTTCACATAATATTTGTCTTAATAATGAAGAATTTGCGGAAAGTGTTTAGCACCGGGGAAGTCATTAAAACATTAATTTTTAATTGTAGGGAAATTAATGTTTACAACAAGCAGACGGTAATTGAAACCAGCGAGTTATTAAACGAAAATTGTGATTTCGAACACGGTTATATTTGTTTAAGGTCACGAACAGTTCAATTTCACATTTTCGGGTCACGCCAATAAAAGGTTAAGAACCGCTGCTATAGTATCAGTACCGATTTCAATTACAGTTCTAGCGTTTTTTATCGCGCTTCATTTAGTACTTACTGTATTGTGCGTTTTTGTGTAGGTACGGAATTCGTATTTGGACTAAAAAAAAAAAAAATGTTCAAAATAAAAATATTTAAATTCGGTTCCGGTTACTATTATTTTAAATGTTTTTCGGGTTGTGTTTTCCGCGGGTGAATAAACCTGCCGGGAAGCCGGGAATTTCCGGTGGTCTCCCCGAGAGAGCTCTTGGATTGTCCTCGGTGGTGACTGGCACGACTGAACGGAAATCATCGAACTGTCAAACTATCGGTTTATCTACGACGTCATCAGCCTTATAAAAGACACTCGGAGACAGGCCGATAAACAAAATAAAAGTAAGTCCGTGTAGGGGCCATTTTTTTAAAATTTCCTGGTAGGCCAACAATGGCAGTCTTTCACCAGGGTACCGCGGTTTAAATGAACGCGTTAAATCGGGATTGGGCTATTACCCCGAAGATCCTACACTATTCCTGTTTGGCGTTGCTGATCGAGTTGGCCGGGCTCACCTGCGTGCTACACCGCGTAGGCTTTTCCCGCGCCGATTTCGTCCAGTTTTAATAAAAAAAATCTGGACGTCACTTATAGCTAACGGTTGGAGCTGTTTCGGCGGTTAAGCCCGAAAGGACTGGTTCGCGGACCTATTCAATTGGGGTTTTTATTGAAGACCTAACCTAAAACTATACACGACATGCAAAAATTTGTATATCCTCTCCCGCCACTGATGATGGCGAAATTATACGGCGATCTGAATCCCGAGTAAGTCGAGTGAAATCGAATCCAATATTTACTTATTCGTCTTTATACCGTTTGAAATGCCTATGTCGCATTAAATACGTTTCTGTTAAAGGTGCGAAATGTTTAGAAACGTGCTCCGGGAGTGCCGAACATTGGTGCTGCGCGCCTAAACTCCAAAGAGCCACTCGGACCGAACGCTCCGCGGCGGAAGAAGACCCCGGCAAATCGAAAATGACAATAATACGCTCAGTTCGAATATTGCGCTGAAAGCAGCCGACGCGCGGGGGTCCGCCGTGGTACGCCCACTCGCCTACTCGCCGTGCGCGGTTGCCCGCAACGATCGCACAGTCGCCGTCACGTAGTAATCGATATAACGGCTGTTGTTTACCGGCCGAATAAAAGGTTATCCACTGGCCGCCGTACGATATCTAATAATTGCGGTCGCGGCAATTATTGAACTGAATGCGGAATAATATTAATTTTTTTTTTTTTTTTTTTTTCTATTATTTATTATCGTTCAACTCAATTTATTAGTTTAAACACTTTCCGTCCCATTAATATTGCAAAAATAACGAACTCATCAGACTGTCTAAATTCGTGCTCATTACGCGAGAAAGGTTAAACATGTCGGCTTTTTTTTTGAAAAACTATTAAAAATTTATATCAAATATTCGTATGTATAATAAATAACGATTAAATATGCTGCGGACACAAATTTGAAAGGAATCGACTTTGCATACTCGGGGGTCGACTATAATTTCACACCAATAGCGCCTAGTGGCGTACGGGCCCGTGAATAATTATACTTGAAAAGAGGTTTGGTGGATATTTTAAGACGTGACCGCCGACTCGGATGTGCATTATAAATACGACCGCCGGCAGCCGTTATGCGCATTATCTGCTTATCTCGAAATCGCCAACGACTGCAGCTCGCGTGCAGCCCATAATGCGTATGTGAAACAGCCCGAACAGTGTGCACGGCCACCCCCATACGCACGTTTCTTAAATACACCGAACTTACACGATACAGTCGAGAGCTCGTCGTTTGCGGTTGACCGGACGGCTGACCGCATTGCACACGTGCCAAACGCACGAATCATTCGGTTTACAAACAATTGTTTATACCATTGTTGATTAATTACTAATTAGGCGATGGGAATATTCGATTTGAAAATGATATTTTATAACACCCAAATAACAATGTTTATTACGTTTAACAAAACGCGTTAATTTTTTTTTTTTTTGTGTGTGTGTGTGTACAAAAATTCAATCGGAAATCTCGCTCCGAAGTGTCGAGTATTTGGTATAGCGCTTTTTCTGAAAGGGAATCTTCCTGGAGCGGTTTGGTGAAGTCGTTTTTATTGATTTTCCCAATTAATGGGGGAAAAAAAAACGGAGTAAAAATTACGCAAAAAACTAGCGCATGCCTCTAAATAGCTCAGAAATGTTTAAAACGTTTTGAACATTTCACCACGTTTAGAAAACGCCCCGAATCTGATATAATGTAAAACTGTACGTATTATAATACGGAATCGTGAATATACAATTGGTATTGGTGTATAGTTCAGTAGGTTTGATGGATCGAACAATTCATTGTACCTATACATTAGTTTGCACGCGGCAAACTATCCTGAGTAAAGCAGTGATCATTTTTGGGCTGTCAAAATAACTCAAAAATTAACAAGACCGGTGAAAATGTCTACAGATTGTTTTAAACGATTGCGATCGGCCGATGTTCCGTATGTTTTGATATACATAGACGCACAGAATCGGAACATTTTTTCCGACTGCAAAAGTGTTTTCGCCTCGGCGTTTTGTAAAATTACATCGGAGTAAACCGTATAAAAGATAAAAGACGCATATGGGTACAAACAATACAAATAGTACAGCAATAAATACATATGCACACAGAATTTAGCTTTAAAAGCTGTGGTGTATGTCCGGCCAGGGCCGTAGGTAACTAGGAGTTTTCCACGGGGTTGTCCAGTTCCGTAGATAGCAATTTTGTAGAGGATATCGCCATCGGAAATTACAACATCGAGTTGAACATCGGAATTGTGAGGGCAAAACATTATGTTTTCATAATAACACTGAGTGAATTTTCCTCGGCTTCTTAGCCATTTCATCCAACACTTCATCGGGCGCGATGGCGGTATTTCGGTAATAACTTAATAGTACCGATCCGTCGGGACGGTCCTGTTTTTGACAAAAAATTCAATTAATAAAATGAAATCAGAATCAATTGTTGTGTGCGCGCACACGTCTTTCGTGCTGTTTCAAGTCTTTATTGTTTTTAAACCGGATAGAGATCTTTCTGGCGTTGAAGTAGAAACAGGTGGTAGACTGCACAACATTTTTAGTCGCGTAAATGTATTTGGGGATATGATCGGGTCACGATGGCGTCTGATGGCGTCCAGTGCATTAAAAGGCAACGTGTCACCGTTGCTTGTTACCAGCCGTTTGAGTTTTTGTTTGCGAATTCGTCAACGACGTTATCAACTTCTAGTCTACGCCGTCGATGGACGACGGTAAGACATAATACATTATAGGTATCATGATGTAGTTGAAATTCAAATGTTTACCGAAGAATAATTCTGCGCGACCGTGTGACTGTGTACCTATTGCTGTTCATGTATAGAGTAAGTATTCAGTTAAAATTGAAAAAAAAAAATTGGTTTAAAAAATAAACATTTTAAATTTTAGAATATACTAGACATTTTTACTTTTTCTACTTGTTTAAAAGAGGGCCCGATGGGGTTTGAACCCTCTAAACCCCCCGTATCTACGGTCCTGTGTATGGCTAAGTTATTATACTTCGCACATGTAAATACAACAACTTTTAGACTTAACCGTAAGTATATCGCGACCTTTAGAGCTTTGGTTTTAATGCGTAGCCGTATTTTTCACGAAGTTTTCGGGGAGTGTTTTCGTCGGGATATCAATTTTTGTTTTTTTTTTGTTTGTGTATTTACTTCTGTAGCTAGACGCCGTTTCGCTAAGAGAGAACGTGCCGGTTCGCACTAACCGTAAAAATTACCGGACCGATTTTCAGAACGTTCCACTCTTAAAGTCCGGTTAGGAGAAAGGGCGACGGAGAATCATTTGTACGGCGGCGCGGCGCGCGGCATTTTAATAGTGTTCCGTTACATACTCTACCCCTGACCCCGCTTAAAAGCGGAATATCTCGTTAACGGGTTGACGGAAATCAAAAATGTCAACACTAAAATGTGTTTAAACTAATACTGCTGTTAAACACACCGGTAGTATATTTATGGAACTTTCGATGTAGTTTGCCACGGGAAAATCGAAAGTAAGTGGGCAACCGTGTTTAACCTCTCTAAAATAACGGTAGCAAACAATAACGTTTAGATCGGATTGATTGTTAATTGTTTTTTAAAAAAAAAAAAAATGTTCGAAAAAATCAATACTTTTCGAAATATCTAGTGTAGGCGTTTAAATAGATCACCTGGTATATAAATTTGTTTTAAATGTGTTTATAATTTAATTCGTTTCAATAAATTCATATTTGATACGATATGGATGCGTAAATAAATAGTCATTGGTGGCATATATCTTACACGGTTTGAAACGTTTTAGATTCTGAGCGCAATGTGGAATGTATTGATTTTACTATGATACTTATGTTTCTTTTTCTGATTATTAACAACTTTTCTACCGGAAACCATTTTCCGATATTCAAATGTACCATATTTTTTCAAAGAATACCGTATCTATTTCGTGTATTCTTTGTAGTTTTCTTGATAACTAAGAAATAATGAAATCGGTCATTTTAATATTTGGCTATGTATTGTGCAATATTATGGACTTAAGTTTTTGTTTGTAAAACAATTTTACACAATAAAACGATTTCAAAACCCATGGTTATAACAATGTTTATTTTTCTGATACTGAATTTTATTTTTATATTATTCAATTGCGTACTTTGTTTCGTTGTAGTACGTGTTTTTTTTTTTTTTTTTTTCATTCGGCCGTCAAGTCGTCAAAAATTATTGCTTTCAAAAAAATCGTCTCCATTCTTGGCTTATGTAAGTAATAAATGTTGTAATTGTTACATTAGTGTATAGGTTTATATTATATTCTCTTTTCTTAATATTCTGCGAAAAATATACGAAAAAGAAATAAACGTCCAGCAATTTTTTTGTTTGTAATATTAGATTGTGAGTGGAACGAGGAATGTAGGTATTGGTTTTACGATGATGTTTATTTTTTTTTCGTGAACAACAAGAAATTTCGTTCTTATTTTCAAACGTATCACTTTTCTTGAAATGAAATCTGACTGGGTGATACTTTAGGGAATTCATGATTTTCTCATGGGTTTTCTTAATAAACGAGAAAAAACGTAAAAAATATATATTATTTTCAAATCGTATATTTTACGGCCTATCAAAGTATACATAACTGAACTCTGCTTAGAATCGTTTTTCGTTAGCAATGGTTAATCTTTGCACACAGATAATCATTAAATTTCCCTTCCACTTTCCCAACGTCTCGTCTCTAACAGCGGTCCGCCCGCCCGTGCGCAGTATGTTTCTTTTTAATTTTATAACATCGACTTCGATTAATCGAGAAAACAATGACAACGATAATTAAATTACAACTATGGATGACTATGGGTACCTATAATTCCGACTGTCCCTAAAAAACAATATTATTTTTCAAGACTAAAACGAACTATCGTCTATATAATCGGAATTTAGAGCGAATTGTCAACATCCAACGAAAATAATAATCTTCATTGTGTAACGTTATGTTATTTTCAACCGTTAAAATTACAAAATTATAATCATACAACCACACCGAGATATGAATTAGTGTCGATATCGTATTCAAATAATTGTATTTCTTAAAAAAACAACATTATTGGTAGCACCCGAAATTAGATAGATTATATTAGGTACCTATTATACGTCGTATGCACGTGAGAGGTTTTGATTTGTTTTGTTTTTTTTTCCCCCCATAAAATTGGTTTAACTTATAATTGAATTCGTTACTTTATTGCTTTGTTCAAAAAACACGTTAAAAAACCCTCGGTAAAATGTACGTTTTCTCGAAAACGATTCGCGTCTCCGCAATGATATAATATCTATAATCTATATGATATTCGACAGTATTGGTTTTTACGAGCTTATACATTTTTCACCTTTTTTTTACAGACTCTACTATATCGCCCGTAACTAAGGATGCAATCCACGGTTCGGTAATCGAGAACTGCTTGGGGAACGGGACGGTTAAAAAGTATCCTAGCCCTAGGCAGCGTCGTATTCACCCGTTATATTATTATAGATTTGAAAGTTTGTTTGAACGCGCGTTATTAACCATCTCTCGCCTAGACCTACTTGAACAGGTCGACGTTTAACGTTTCATAGATGTATTTCTAGACAAGGAACGGCATACGGGTTACTTTGTATCCCTGTATTCAAGCCCTAAGGGGAGAGGGGGGAGGGATTGAAACTAGACCGTTGCCTTTTTCGGTACGCAAATCGAATTGCTTTTGTCGATTTATGGGTTACCACGGCGATACGGACGAACGACCAAACCGTTAATATTAATTAATTTCAGCCGTTACGGGTAAAGAAATACTCCCAAAAAAATTACCGGGCAGCAGCGATTAAATCGTGTGACGGGTACGCGGTAAACGGAGAACCACGGGGAAACGCAGTTTTATTTTTTTTCGTCCGACATTCGAGACCGTTTCTCTATTAAACAATTAAAAATCTACAAAATTATCGAGAGTTTTTTTTTTTTTTTTTCTTTCCTACTATATACACGAAACAAAAGATTTCCGAAACAGACTCGAACCAGTAATCGGACGGCCGACACCGATATTTCGCGGTATTCACTTCGGCGGATATCGGAATTTTCGACCGTAGACGACCGGTTGCGTCGGTCTACTCCGAGGCGTGCGTTCGCAACGGGTCCTCCCGCCGCGTATCATCGTGTTCGGTTGTCGATCGGGACTGGGCGCGGCGCGCGTTTCAAAAACGCGATTTCCCGCGTGTACGCCGCGGCACGGTCGGCGCGATCCCAGTTTCTCATTGCGGAAACGGCGCCGATGCCCGTCGCGAGCCGGCCACGGGTTCTCACCACTGCGACCCCGCGTGGCCGCGAATCCGCTGCCGGCCAGTGCGCGGTCCGCCGTGTCTCCCGGCCCCGGTCCCCGGCCGTTTTTTTTTTGTTTTTTTTTAGGCTTACCGTTAATAGTTTATAGGCGACCGCGGCGCTCGCCGTAACCCCGTAACGGATTCGTATCGAAACGTATCGATAGCAATTATCGCTTCGTTGATTTTAATTGCTCTACAGAGCACGCGCGGCCTTTACGAGCGCCGGTTCGGTTGCCATTAACGCGCGCCGCACGTTATTTTCGACGATTTACACTGTTGAAAATGTTGGGCGATTATCGCGACGCTCGGTCGATTACGATTGCTGTACACGCCCGTTGTTTTCGCCGTTTATTACGATTTTTATGCGATCGTTACCGCGCATTACGAATTATTTCGCTTCTTTTTAAAACGCGGATGTGCAATATGTGTTGACGAATACAACTATTACGACTGATGGTTATTGCGTGCGTGTATGCGGACGGTTATGATCGATGGTTAACGTTGTTAAAAGCTTCAAGAAGAACTGCGGACACGCGTCGAATTCAAATGTCGATTATCATTTTTTTCAATTTTTCAAACGCTCTTGGGTACCGTCATTACGGTTATGTTTGTTGCTACTACTCATTCCTTTTATTATGATAAATTTTTTTTATTAAAACGCTAACTTTGATATTTATCGTCAACGCTCGCTATTGTTGTTGTTATTAATTGTCGGTTGTCGTAAATATTTTTATTATCGTTTTTGCTGAATATTTTTTCTTTATTTGATCGTTTTATTTATTATTATTTATTATATGGTATGCTTCTTATCAAAATGTTGATTACGATATTTTCGTATGACTGTTATCACGATTAATGGCGGTTCTTAATTGCTTATTGTTATTGAAATGCTTGAAATATTTTGTTAAGTCACCGTTATATTTAAAAAAAAAAACTATTTAAACATTCAATTAAAAATACAGAGTAATGAGCTGAAAAAATAATAATACGACATAAAAAGTCACAAATTGGAAATTACAAGAGTCATAAATAGATCTGTTGTTTCAGAATTCAAAATATGCACTTACAATACTACATTACGCAGTCGCCAATAAGAAAATACGATTTCCTACAAATTCTTAGCCCTATAAATTATTTTTTTTTTGCCGTTAATTATTATTTACTTGATCGTTAAATACATTATAACCTTTAATGCTTCCTATTAAAATTCTGATTATGATTATTTATATGTTTGTTTAATATTATCAAAATTATTAATAATTTTTTTTAATGCTGATTTGATTATTATTATTATTATTATTATTAGAATGCTTTTTATTAGGACTGTGAATTAAATGCACTCGAAAAATGCCATATAATATGCGCTAAAATGCCAACGATTTTAGTATATAATGCATTTGAAATAG